CTTGCCGTACATCAAGCCATATTTGGAAAGCAAGGGTGCTAATCCTACTCATGACTTGGAGGCTAACCTGTGAAAATTTGGTTACAGCGCCTTCATGTGTTTAGGTAATCAATTAATTCTAGGAAACTAGACGCCACTCAAGACGTTTTATATAGGTTTTGAATTTCATTTTACTATATGTCTTGGGGATGCCCAGAGCAAAATCGGGGGACCATTATGAGTCTTGCGTTTAACTCTACTTATAGCTTAGAGAGACATATATCTTTCCATTAAATTGTAAACCTTCACTGAAGTTAAAAATTGCAATAAAAATTACCGATCGATAATCGTTTTTTGCTCTTAAAAAAAAAAAAAAAAAAAAAAAGCAAATATTAAGATATAATGGCATTTATTTTATTTTATATAAAATCAACTAGTAAAGTTATATTATACAATTAATATAATAATTAGTTTGCTTAAAGTTAAAAATAATTATAACTTAAAACAAGATATTAAATATCTCAAAAAATTAATTTAATAATAATTAATAGAATAAATTAAAAATATTTTATCGATATTAAAATCTTTTTAAATTAATAGAATTTTAGAAAGAAAGTAATTATTCAACAATTAGTTTTATGTTTCATATGATTACTATATTAATTAATAATCTTAAATCAAATACAAATATAGTTGAAACTATTGATTTTACAATAAATACAATTGTATTTGATAATAATATTAGTTATGAAGATATATTAAGGAAATTAATAAAATTATTATTATCAGATTTCATAAAATTTCTATTAATATATTTCAAAATTGTAAAGGACTTATAGATTGAATTAAAAATATATTATTTTTTTTTAAATTGGCTAAATAAGACTTTATTCTAGTTTTATTAATATAACAAGTTTTTTATATTATATATATAAAAGTTAAACTATATTGATTCTTATATTAATTAAAATCTGTTCACAAGTAACTTTACCTATCTAGATTAAATTTGTTACTGTTATTATTTTTTTGTTTAAATCTTATTTAACTTTATTTAATTTTATTTATTTTTTATTTAATCTTATTTATTATGTATTATATTATCATAACCTATTTTGGCTAATAGAAATCTATAGAGATAAACCTTATTCTAATAAACTTGTAGAAAAAAATATCAGATATCACAGGAAATAATTATTAAATCAATTTGTTTTATATTGAATATTTTATATATTTTTTTATTTTCAGTAATAATTATAACATCAATTAGACAATTGTCATGTCACGATACCTTTTCTATAAATTGTATTCTTGATATTCACTTGAATTAACATATAAATTAATTTCTTTTATAAGAAACAGTGCTTAACAAGTCATAGCATTGGATATCATATTAATTCTATTCAATTGCCTTTATCTGAAATTAAATTGATATCTTGTGATCTGAATTTGGGAACATTGACTACTGTGCTATTGACCCATAAGTCAATTAAAAATATATTATATACTAGTTTATCTTACTATTATTTTATTCCTTTAAAAATTGATTTATTAGCAACATTATAAGATTCTTGTTGCAAATCACTTAATTTTGCTTCAAATTTTAAAAAAAATAAAAACAATTGATATATTAAAAAATTTAGTTACAAACTTATATTTAGATTCAAATAATGATTCTCAACAATTATTCAAAAAAGATAACTTACTTATTATAAGAATGTTTCAATTATATCATTTACAAACCAATGAAGTAACTGATTATCTTGCTCAACTGGAAATTTTTCCAATTTCTGATCCTTTTCTTTGGTAGGTTAATAATCAAGAAAGATTTTTGATTATTTCAAAACTTGCCTGTAAATATCTTTCAGTATCTGCTACATTGGCTTCTAGTAAATGTCTATTTCAAATGCAGGAAATATATTAACAATGAGACATACAAATCTTAAATCACAAGTATTTGAGCAAATTCTTTTTATAAAAGGAAATAATAACTTAATATTTTTCCTAAATTGTAATTTGTAATCAAACAAATATATTTTTTTTTTCAATTTTTTGCAAATCTCAAATAAAAATAAAATAATCAAATTAATTAATTGGATAATCCAATAATTTATTCGAATAAATAATTTATTTGCAGATCTTTATTTGATCAAATAATCGAATAAACGAATCCAACCCCTAGCCGAGAGTGATAGAAAGATAGTTTGGTCATTCTATTTCTGGGATAATCGTTACATAATCTATTTCAGGACGTACTACAAGCATATAATTAATTTATGGTGTGACTATATGGGGTGTACAACTCGATACTCGATCATGTGCCCGATAAATAACCGCATCGCTTTCTTTATTACAAACAAAATACAGGATAATATTTATATGGGTAATTATTTTCGAAGGCGGACAGTGATTTTTCGGTCACTATAATTGTGATCCTAAAATTTACATTATGTATGTATTGTTTAAAGTAGGGACCGAAAAAATCATATCTAGCATTTTTGCTGCCTCCAAAAATAATTACCCATATTCTAAAATACGCGCTTTTTCTATGCTCATTAGATCCTGATTTTTTCTTGGATCGTCTCTGCCTCCTTTTATTTTGTTTGTCGGGTGTTTCTTCTCTAGGTGATGATACTGTAGTACTTTTTTCGACACGATGCGTCTTACTCGTGGGTACTTGCATTAACAGAGATAAATTGACGACCAAAATATTCTATATAAAACAAAATTAGTTTTGTTATACGCAATAAACGAATGGTATACTAAATAAATACCCGCAAATTCAACAATAATTCAACAAATTCAGGTAGAGTCGATAATGTTGGATCTGACCATTGTATAGGAATTTGCGTTTTTTTCAGATGGTAATATCGAGATAAGTACATTTAACTGGATTTTGGTCCCTATAATATTACACATTATTAGATCGGTAAATAATGGACTAGAGTTCTGAAATAGTCTTATTAAACTTTACCTGCGACTTGAATCCCCACAATGCCAAATTGATCTTTTTCAGGTTTACACCCTTGTCGTACCCAAACATACCATCGTTTGTTTCCCTTCACAATTTTACTTCATCATCTCTTTTTTTTTGATATCGCTATATAATAAACGTGAGCATTCACCAAATACAAGCTCAAATATCTTACCATCCCGTTTTTGTAAATACATGAAATCTGGTCGTTTTCCAAAATGTCCACCCCCTTTCCTATCTGCGCTGGCAATGCTTTGTCGCTCCGCACTATAATAAATTTCTAAAAACGTGACTTTGATAGTGATAAATATAATACTACTTAAATAAAACGACTTACGTGCTGATAAATGTAGATTGCCTATATGGTAGCCCTTTCAATGATGCCCGAATCGAAGGGATTATTACATCTGTTACATACGTTCCCTCACTTTGTGTTTTCATAAGTTCCGGTCCAAATGCTGGATTCATCCGAACATCGGCCCTATAATCAAATGGTATAAAAATATTATTAATTTAAGGATCTTAGAAACTTCGCCCATTTTGAAAATTACTTCACTACATCAAGAATATCCTGTGTAACTCCTATTAGGGTTTCATCCGACTCTTTCCATTTCCCATTATGCATAAGTT